CAGCCCTACAGTTCTCCCGGCCCTGGACCACAAGATGGGCCAGGCCCGGGGCACGTACCATGGCTGGCCAGGAGCTCCCCCAGCTGGTGGGAGAGGGCGGCCTCGTCCCGCAGCTGCCCGCTTCTCTGGGCCTTGGCCTTGGCCTTGCTCAGCTCTGCAGAGAGAGGGAGACGAGGCAGGGACGCTAAGCTTCTTCGCCTGAGTGGGCCAGACCCTCTCCTCGCCCAGCATTCCGCCCGGAGACTCACGACGAAGCTCGCGCTCCACATTCATCCTCGATCAGCCGCGCGCGGGGATCCGGACTTCCCGCGTTCCCTGCCGCCGCCGCCGCGGCTCCGCCCCCGCCAGGCGGGGTGCATCCCGGGAAATGTAGTCCAGCCGCCCGAGGCATCGTGGGAGCTGTAGTCCGGCTGACGTCCGGTCAGGAAGGACAGTGAGAGGGCGGCGGGAGGATCGGCACCTCCGTAGGCTCTTGGGGTCGCGTGGAAGCTGAGCCCCATCCTCACCCCTGATCCCGGCCCCGCAGCCGCCCTTGGGGTGCGGTCTCCTGCGCTCGTGCTGCCGCTAACCACTCACACATGCGCAAAGCCTATCTGCGTGAGCGACTTTACTTGGGAGACACACTGCCTTCATTTAAAAGGAAATGAAGGGATCTATGATCTAATACCCTTGAGTACTTGGATATGTGCATGTAATCAAATACGCCCCTTTTCACAGAGCCCGCGGAACAGCCACGAATGCAACCCCAGAGCCGTCGCGTTCAAGGACACAACCCCCCGTGTTTTGGGGGAAAAGGGGGGATGGATGTGTCTTCCAAAGTGAACAAAGTACTTCTTCCTCAGTGCGCACACAACGAACTCTTGAGGGCTTGGTGCACCCAGGCCTCAGACCTCTAAATGCCTGTCCTGTATCCACTGCTTTGAGGTTTCAGTCCCCACTACACAGCACATCCAGCCCCGGATGCAGGGTGATGAGACTGGTGTCCAAAGACCCCAGGGGAGGCCCGGAAACAGTGTGAGGTGGCTGCATTTATTCTCTGTGGAAGTCAAAACAGACCCAATAGGGTAAAACTCTCAGCCAGTGGATGAACCATGAGGCCCACAGTGGAGGAAGTGAGAGAGGGGGTAGATGGGTCTGTGGGTCTAGGGAAGACTGCCCAGGACCGGTGATGAGGCTGCAAGGAGTGGGGGCAAGGGCAAGTCTGAGGAACTGCAGGAGATGGGAAGTTGGATCCAGGGAACCCTTTTCTCTTGGAAGGGTGAAGGGCTCTGCAGGTCCCTAGTTGGGTCTCGTGGGTGGGGAGCACAACAGGGAGGCCCTGAAACCAAAAGAGCTGCTTGGAGGGCAGGCTGCTGGAGTGTGAGGAGCACAGTGAGGGGTAAGTGGAGATGTGGTAGGGGTGAGAGAGCGAGGCCAGCGGGGGTAGAGACTGGCTCAGCTCAATAGGCCAAGGGCAGAGACTGTGTTGGGGCTCCCCTTCCAATGTCAGCATTCACAAGACAGCCCAGAGAGGACCCCACTTGTCTATGCCTCAGCTTTCCCACTGGTCAGACAAGATGTGTATGTGGGGCAGTACTGAGCAGGGTCCAAGGAGTGGGGGCCGGCAGGGGCAGCAGCTGAGTCCTGCCCAGGATGCTGGCTTCACCCAGGGAAATGCATCCATGAGGCTAGCTTTTCACATAAGGAAACACAGACAAAACATGGTTTGGAATTTTTTTGAAACTATATAGTTACATACAGAAAATATCCAAAGAGAACGCAGACCACAATAGTGACACGTAAGTCATTTCCCACAATGATAAAAACACCTCTCGCTTTCCTCTTTAAAAAATTATTTTTATTATTTTTGCAAATGTCTCACTTGGGTGAACTGAGGGATGTAGTGCACATAGGGGAGTGGTGATGGCAGAGGGGGCAGCCTGCTGTGTGCCCCCAGGCCTCCTCCACATCTGCCAAGGTTGCACCCCCACTCTCTCTAGCTCAGGATGCCAAATGCCAAGGGGTCCTGGAGACAGACCACTGGTGTTCTCTCCTAACAAGGAGGTTGGGAAATCCCCAGTAAATCGATGACCCCGGTGAGATGCCACAAGTAGGTTTGTGGCATCAGCTTCCAAGAGTGGCCACGACACACTACAATCTCCCAAGGTACCTGCCTCCACCAGGATGTAAGGCTCAGCTGCTGAGGTGACCGTCAGAGTGGGGGCTGTGTTGGGGAAGGCGATGCTGGGATGTATTACTACTCCTCTTGGGCACCCCCCAGACATGCCCTTGGGCTGCCAGAAATAGTGGGCTGTATGCCCCCGGCAACCCGGGAGCCCTGGTGCTGCAGAGCCCAGCCCATCTACCACCCCCATCTAAGAGCTGCTAGGCCTAGGACTGTGGGGACAGGGCGCAGAAGGCCCAGCTGGCCTTGGTTTCTCCCTCCTGTGGCCCCCGGCCTGGTCCCCTCTGGCAGCCACATACCTGACCTGCATAGAGATGTTGCCTCCCACCCTACCCCACCCAGGAGAGCCTTCGGGCGCTGCTCCTCTGCCAACTCAAATCTCTCACACACAAACCTAAATTACAGGCAGACCAGGCAAGCCTGCCCCTACCCTGACTTCTCCCCAACATGGTCACTTAGAAATCCAGAAACCCTACACAGAGGGTGTCCATCCTTGAGAGATGCGGAGATCCAGGGACATGGGACCATCCCCTCTACACACAAGACCTAGCACACGGCTACCTGAATGTCATCCTCTGTATCTGCCAGGTGTGTGTGTGTGTGTGTGTGGGGGGGTGGTGGGCAGCACTTGAGGACAGGGGGACTCATGCCAGGGTGTGCTCCCAAGGATGTGTTGGGGGCCAGGGCACGGGGTCTTTGTGGAGGGTAGGAAACCAAGTGTAGCACCTCTGGGTGTCCTCAGTGGCCAGGCACAGGTGGCCTTGCAGGAGGGGGTTGCCCCATAAGCCCCACGCCCTAGACTGGAAACAGGAAGCTAAATAGTCTTCTCAGTAGAACTAAGCGAGCTGCCCTGGGGTGAGAATTGGCTCAGAGGGCTGCCTGAGCTAGGCACTGGGATGAGACTCTCACTCTACCCCATGCATGGCTCCTTACCTCTATTTTTCAGCCCCCAACTCTTGGGCCAGGAGAGGGAGGGACCACAGGGAAAGGCCAGGCCTGCGGCTCTGCACGCTTACTGTCAGGGCTGCCCCAAGTGCTGAGCCTACAGGGCCCTGGAAATGGGGAGCGAGGCTGGCAGAGGAGGGCAGAGACTGCTCTGAAGCGTGGGGTAGGCCAGGCCTGGGCCGAAGGAAACGGTTCTTTGGTATTGAAGCAGCAGAACCCTATCGCAAAAGAGATGTGTCTCCTAAGCAAAGGAGGGGAGCCAAGCTTTCCCCTCTCCAACGGCTCCGAAGGTCTCAGGGTCCTCCACACAGGGCTCCTACCCTCCCTGTGAGGGCCCCACACAGGGCCTGCTCACTGCTCACTGAGGCCGTGAAGAGCTCCCTCCAGTGAGAAGCCACGTCGCCCAGGGACTGACCTCTGGGAGGTGGCAGCCAGTTCCTGATAGCAGCACGGGGATGGCCAGCCCACTGGAAACCTCCCAGCCAGGCTAGCTCACTGCCTGCGGCCCCCACAGCTTCCCTCACAGGCTGGGGAGGCTGCGCTCTCAAGGCTGAATACAGAAAATAGATTCTCTCTTGCTAAATTTACATAACTTATAGAAGAGCCTGTGAAGAGTTTAATTTTGTTTTCCTGGAAAGAGACAGAATTTCACCCTGCATTCCGAAGCATCTGCTGAGCCCTGGCAGCCAAGTCCTATCTCTCTGGAGCAGCTGGTGTGTGTGTGTGTGTGTGTGTGTGTGTGTGTGGTGGTGCCAAGACAGGGTAGCTGGGCTGCAAGACTCCTGCAGCTGGTGTGTGTGTGTGTGTGTGTGTGTGTGTGTGTGGTTGCGCGCATGTGTGCGCTGGGGCTGCTGCAAGACCCGGGTCCTGCTTGCTCCCCTGCCCAGGCCTGTGACAGAGGGGGCAGTGTCTCCGAGTCTCTGGCAGGGGGCGTGCATGGAGGCGTAATAACAAGGACCTGCGGGCTGAGGCGTAATAACAAGGACCTGCGGGCTCTGACCCCCAGGCCAAACCAAAGCTCCCCCGATGTCCAATTACAGCCACACCTTTCCCTCGAACAAAACAGAAAGTAGGAAACAAGGGTGCCTTTTTAATTGCAATCAAATATGCCGTCTGAAGTCAGCGTGCTCCCTGAGCCCGGCCCAGGGGCCGGGCGCAGCCCAGAGCAGACGGTGCGCCTCACTGCGCCACGGGGGCCAGGGCATGGCCACGGGCTTAGCCCCATCGTGTCCCTGAGCCACCGTCTCCTCTGCAGGTGGCCCGGCCTCCGGTGCCTGGGACAGGGGAGGCGGGGCGGAGGGCGAGGTGAGAGCACTCACACCTTCGCACACGCATGCAGACCTTCCCAATGTTTGCATCTGTTCCTTCTCCTCTGCTAAAACGGTCAGACGGCACTGCGAGGCCGCTGCGGGGCAGGCGCGGGCAGCACGGCGCCGCCTACTTCTGTATCTGGAACAGGAAGAGCCGCAGGTTGATGTTCTTGGCGGCTAGCAGCTTGTTGCACTCCACAGAGTCGACGATGGGCAGTGGCACGTAGTCCGTCTCGTTGCTCTCGTTGGTGAAGACAAAGTGGTAGATGACGGGGCTGATCTTTACATCATCGTACGGGCCCTTGAGCAGCAGGAAGGAGCACTCCAGGGGCGCCGTGACCTTGCTCTTGAGGAGGAGCTGGAAGGAGAGTGTGCGCTTGCATGACAGGTTGGGGTTCCGCTCCGAGTCGTTCACGCGTGCCTTCAGGACCCACGTCTGGTTCAGCACCGTGAACCTTGGCGTCTCGTAGTACAGGCGCGTGATGAAGTCATCTGTGCGGTATGGCCGAAACTGGACCTCTGTGGAGACAGACAGGCCGGGAAGAGCCGGCAGTCAGTGTGGGTGGGGCCAGGTGGCGGTGCCTTCCGAAGGCCGAGGATGCAGGCTCAGCCAGGGAGGAAGGCGACTTACCAGGAGGACACAGCGTGCTCTGCTTGTCACAAGGCAAATCAAACGCAATTATGGCAAATGGAGGCGCACACAAGCTTTGGGGGAAACAACTACAAACAGAAGTAACACGCATTAGCTGCAGGGAGTCCAGAGGCTGAAAGAAGTGAGCGGCCCGACCCCCGCTGGCCTCCCTCTTCGCCTCCCCCAGGGCCCAGCCCAGGCAGAGGGAGGCCCACCCAGGGGCGTGGGTAAGCAGACACACAGACAGGATGCGTTCTGAGAACAAGTGCACTTTATTGGTTCTGATACAGAGCTGCCAGAAAAGCCGGCGGGCGGTCGGGCAGGCAGGCAGGTGGCACGTGAGCCCGCACGGGGCGCAAGGCAGAGCGCTGGCGTGTGGCCCAGTGCTGGGCTCCTGTGCTGTCACACAGTTCTCTCAGCACAGCCCGGGGCCCACGGCCCGCGAGTCCCTCCATGGAGGTGGCCAGTCCTTCCTGTGTGGACGAGGATCCCTGCCCAGCCACCGCCACAATCATGATGCCTTGGCCTGCCCAGACCCACAAGGCCCGGCCCGGACTGTTTGTGCCATGGCGCCCACCAGGGCAGCTGAGGCTGCAACTAACCAGGGGCCATGACCTGCTGCTGCTGAGGCTGCTGGCCCTCGGCCTCCCGGGCCTGTGCAGGCCTACACCTAGCCAAGGCCTAGTCCAGGCAGCATGGTGTGACCGGTTGCCTGCGACCGCCCTTGATGCTCTGAGCCGGCTGCCTGGTGTGGGCTGAGTAGTAGAGGGTCGTAGTCTCCCTGAGTGGCCCCAGTGGCAGCAGGTGCTTCTCGCTGTTCTCTGTGTCTGGACCAGGCTTTGGCCTGGTTCCTGCTCCCCAGCATGTCCAAAGGCAGTGGCCGTGGCCAGGAGAGCCCATGAGATCCAGTGGGCCCGAGTGCGGTCCAGCCTGCCCGTCTCTGGGCGTCCACTCCCGGCTCTGCATTTTGAGCCGGGCACCCTCAGCTCATTCAGGAGCCCCGCCCCGAGCATCTTCTCGATGGCCTCAGGAAGCCCTAGGCCACTGCAGTAATTGCCTGCAGGCAGGACCGGATGTGCTGAGTGCTCTTCTCGCCTTTGGCTCCACAGGACAGGCCTCTAGCTCCCGGGCCCTCCAAGACACACCCACCTTCTGCTTAGACCCTGACTGTCCCAAGGCTGTGCAGCCCCACGCAGTAGGATGCCACGTCATTAGGGTGGCAGGGCCGGGGAGGGGAGGACAGGTGAGAGGGCCTCTGAGAGCCATGCAGGTGCCCCCGGGGTCCTGCCCCGGCCCATCCCCTGCTCGGCCTCTGGCACATCTTCGCCCCCAAGGTGTCCTCCCATTCGCCAAAAGCTTGTCCAGAGCCTGGCCATCCAGCATGGCCTGTGCTCACTGCTCAGAGCCCACTGCTCCCCAGGCTCCCAGCGGCCGCACCCCCCCCTCAGCCTGTGTGGCATGCAGTGGGCCGTGGGGCGCCTCACCTGTGTAACCGATCTTCTCAAAGCTGAGCAGGCTGAAGATGCTGTTGTAGAGCTGCATCTCCTTGCGGTGGCTCTGGTCCATCTCGTCTAGGATCTCCATCAGCTCGTTGCCCGTCTTGGTTGGGTGGGCGCACGCAGCCTCATGCACCGTCAGCTCGTGGAAGGGGCCATGCCACGGGCAGCCGATGCGCTTATATTTGCACTGGGTCACCCTAGGGAGGAGGCGAGCACCGTGGTCACGGCCTGCGCCCTGTGGGAGGTGGCTCTGCCCAGTGGTCCTCCAGAGGTGGGCCTCTGCCTAGCCCTGCTCATATACAGACTACCCCCCGAAGGCCATTTTCCCCATGTGCCAGCTCTCAGGAAGGGGTCAGAGTGTGTGTGAGAGAAAAGTAGCACATGAGAGCTGTGGCTACACAGGCCACCTACACCCTTTGCTGTGAGAACTCTCTCTCCTGCTTAATAACAGTGGCCGCTGACCATGGTCTTGCACCCCATGCAGCTTCACGCCAAGCGAGGCTCGGTGGCCTGGCCCCACTGGCAGATGGCAGTGTCAACCAGCAGGGGCTGGGTGGGGGTGCCCGTGCAGCTTCACACCAAGTTCCTAGAACTTGTCATGCTCTCCTGGGCCCCAGGATGCCAAGGACAGATAGCCTCTAAGAGGCCACCATGCAGCCAGAGAACCCTGGAGAGCCAGGGTGCTGTCCAAACAGGCCAGCCCTGTTTGGTCCAGATCCAAGCCCCCTGCCCTCTGTGGGGCCCCACCCCCACCCCCAGCCCCTCGAGGGCCTGGGTCCTGTGTAGCTCCACCCTAGCCCATTCCTTCTAGGCTGTCACTGGGCCATGTGTGCAGAACCCAAGGCCAGGGCAACACAGCCAGAGCATCCCACATGCTGCGGCCTCGCCTGCACCAGGGTGGCCTCCAGACCCGTCCTGGGCCCCACACGCGTGGCTAAGCCTCTGGTGGGCAGGCCGGCCCAGGCGGTTACCTGTCCTGGCACTCCTCTTTCTGGTGCCTCTCCAGGAGGGAGCGGGGAAACTGGCGCAGGCAGAAGCCACACTCGGAGGGCAGCTCGCTCACGGCTTTCTCCACAGCCAGGTTGCGGCAGCAGAGGCTCTTACTGATCTCACAACGACAGTTAGGGCACGTGGCCTGCTCCTCCTTCAGCCGGGCATCTGCTAGTAGGTGGATAAAACAGCCAGCGCACATCAAGTGACCGTTAGTACACTGCGAAGAAGGAAAGGGAGATGAGCTCACAGACTTGCAGGACGTGCACACACGCACGCACCAGCATGCCCTGCCAGCTCCAGCTGCAGAAGGGACTGCTGGCGAGGAGAGGCACAGGCACGCTGTTGTTTAGCAAACAGAGCCACTGCTCAGGTAGGACAGGCCTTTTTCCTGGAACACTGCAAAGACACGGCCGATGGAGCTCCTGTGGAGAGGTGGGTGGCTCAAAAGTGGCCCCTGGTGGCTTACAGAGGTAACAGATCTCCACCGAGGCAGGCCCACTAGTGGTGATTGGTTTGGCCACACTGGGGCTTGAAGCCTGGCCTCTTCCCATCCCAGGAGCTAGGGACTGCCTCGAGAGTCCCCTAGAGGCCCTGATTTCGGGACGCCTACAGGAACACAGGCTCTTGTCTGGGCATGGCTGTGGCACTTGGCCAGCAGCTGTCAAGTGCGGCAGCAGACACTGCTCCCCTGTGCTGGCGGCTGGGGGCCTGGCCCCTCCACTCCAGCCCTCCTTGGCCAGCACTGGTGAGAGTGTAGTTGCCACCCACGCAGTAAGGCTGGCTACCGGCAAGGGACTTCCTAAAAACTGCACAGAGCTGTGGCAGGTGAGGAGGCCCAGCTGGCCTGGGACAAGGATGTGTGGGCACAGTGCATGCCTGGAGGGGAGAATGGAAGCTGCAGGCAGGGCATATCGCTGAACTAGGTCGGTAGGAGCCAGGCCCCCTCGTTTTGTGAACCCACAGATCTGAGGCCCAGACACTGTCTGCCAGCAACCTGCGCCTTGCTGGGGGTCCTTGCGCATGTGGGCAGTGGGCTGCCTGCTCAAGTCCTGTGTTGGGTCTCTGACTGATTCCACACATACCTCCTGAGTGCTCACTTGGTGCCGTCGAGAGAGATACACAGGCTGTGGGGTTGGCCCTCCAGGGGCTCCTAGTAAGAAGGGCAGGAGAGGCCCACAGAGAAACCGAGAGACACAAGAGCAAAGACTTGAGCTGAGTGTCCCCTGAGGGCAGACACACCTTCCTTAGACCTGATCCTGACTAGTAAAAACCTGCAGCGGCAGATGGGGAGGAGCAGAGGTCAGGGAACATTGAGGGGACACATGGGGGTTCTGCCAAGGGTGGCTGGATTTCCACTTGGAGACTCTCCCACAGCCAGCTGGGGGTAAAGGGGCAGACAGCGCCATCAGAGGTCTCGCCAGCAGCTAGCCTGGGCTCACCAGCTGTGGCAAACCTCCAGAAAGCCACTGGGCCACAAGCTTCCCTTGAGGTCCAGGACCCTTCTGGGAGGGGGGTGCGGTGCAGTAAAGGCCTGGCCACATCCACACACACGGGGTCCTCAGTAGACACCCGCTGCCATCCCACCACTTCAGGGGTCTGTGCACCCAGAGCTGGGGGGCTAGGGTAGGCTGTGAGCTCTTGGCACCCATATGCCAGGCCTGGGGTCTAGTGAGTGGTGGGACTTACGTGCTGAGGACCGGTGGGGGTAGGCTGGTTGGGGACAAAGGCCTCACACGTTGAATCCGTGTCCACACAAACACCCCACAGATTATGTGCACTAAAATCTCAATTTCTAAGGTCAAAAATTAAAATGTGCAAGATGTGGAGGAGGCGCTGGCTGGGCTCAGGTTTGGAGGAAAAGGGTCTGACGGGGGTGGGCCTGTGCCAGCACTGGACACACAGGCTAGGTGCAGAGTGCTGCTGGCCCAGCCAAGGGACAAGCCAATACCCACATTCAGCCAGCACCTTGCCAGTTACCCAAGGGATCCGAGAAGTAGTTGGGAAGGGCTGAGGCCTGCTCACAGGAGGAGCAGGCTGGAAAGGCAGTCTACCCTGTCTACTCCCAGAGGTCAGGGGAGAAGCCAGAGATGCGGTGACTGGAGAGGAGGGGGACACAGATGCCATAGGCCCCTGCCACCCTGTAGGAGGCACAGAGACCAAGGGCCTGGGGCATACCTTTAATCACAGCCCCCACCGCGGGCCTGAGCCCGACAGAGGCCTGGGTTCGCCAAACCCGAGCCCCAGAGAGAAGACTGCTGGGGTGTGCAGAAGGCACAGGGAAGCTGAACACGCGATCTAACTACTAACTCACAGGAGGGGGAGACTTCAGGCCGCCCCCTGGAAGGGAGGCCAAACCACAGAGAACCACATTCAGTGAAGCCACGACCAGTGCCTGGCACCCTCAATGAGGAAGCCTGGCCAGATGCACACTATGAGACCCTGCCCCCCCCCCCCCCC